ATTTATTTTCCGTACAGCAATTCATACACCTTTTGTTTCCTGACATTGACTGCACTTCCCCACAATGTAACAGCTCTCTTCCCGCTTCCTCCCTGTGGGTTACCTCTTCCCTGTGTCCTTCTTTCCTATGTATTACTGCCCCCTGAGCTATCTCCCTGTGCGAATATTGCCCTTCTGTTCTCCCATGTTGATCGTTCTAAGGAATGTTTCTATATGGTATACATGTTCACCCTATATGCCTGTCTGCTGTTTGGCTGGAATCCACTGGAGTGAGTTCCATTTCAGACCTGAAGGGTAGCCAGGGGCCATAGTTTGGGGGGTTTCAACATGCTCCATCAGACCAGTAAGCCTGGTCTTTCTTATGATTTTGAGTTTTGTTACACATTGTTCCCCCACTCTATCCAAGATCTCCTGCATTGATGATCCCTTTAAGAGTGGTTGACAGTGGTACCCAGGAACCATCTAGTTCTTCTGGTCTCATGGTCATATAGGCTGAGGTTCGCATGATCCACTAGTTCCTTGGACTAATTGTTTCTGTTCACCTTTGGTTTTCTTCATTCTTCTTTCCTCTGGACAAGGAGAGACCCATCGTTGCATGTAGATTGATTTATTGACTAGTAGTTTGATTTCTGGACTGCTGCTTCCATGGATATGGATTGTGAATCAAAGGAAAATCAAATCCCTGACAACTTCAATCTTTTCTCCATTTATCTTGATGTGGCTTATTGGCCCAGTTGTGAGGTGTTTTCTTTACATTACAATGTAATGTCTGATAGATGTGTTATAAAAATAATCAACCTTTAAGGGTAAGTTCCTGTGATAAGCATCTGAATTCTCAAATGGTTCTATGAAGTAAGCATCATTGTTCTCGGCTATGGATTTGAACTTGGATACTCAAAGGCACCAGGTAAGTTACTTTCTAACTTCCATAGCAATTTTGTGAAGGAATATATGAGGGGACCGGAATCTTTCTGATTCCATGTCTACACCACTAAACCCTTTGCTGTCGAGTCGAGTATGACTCATACCAACCATGTAGGACAAAGTTGAACTGTCTCATAGGTTTTCCAAGACTGTAATCTTTATGAAACCAGAGTGTCATATCTTTCTCTGGCAGAACAGCTAGTGGATTCGAACTGCTGACCTTTCAGTTAGCGTCAAGTGCTTAACTACTCTCCCACCATGGCTCCTTTTTTCTCTTAACCACTAAGAGCCTAAAGTTTGAACTGTGGGCTTCAATTGTGGTTAAATCAATTTATATTAATTGAAACAATCCTGAGAGGCCCTTTTGAGGAAGTTTAAGTGCTGCTTGGCTACTAATTAAAATGTTGGCAGTTTGAACCCACCCAGTGGCTTTCTGGAAGAAAAGACCCAGCAATCTGTTTTTGTAAAGATAGTGGCCAAATGGGCAGTTCTACTCTTCACATGGTGTTGCTATCAGTTCTAATCAACTTGATGGCACCACCACCAATAAACACAATCAGCTAGAGACATGATGGCTAGTCAACCAGGAGAATGTAAACAGAAATGTTCCATTACAAAACAGAGAGTCTCTTGGGTAATAAAAATTCCTGGCATGTTCCCTGCCCTGTTCCTTTAAATGTTTGATTTCTGCTCCTTACTTGATTGTCCAGGTCTGAGTTGAGAACCCAATGAAGAGGGCATCATAAATAAGAAAACTGACAGCATTCTAAGGATACTTTTCTTGGTCCCTGATTCTGGTCTGTGATACACCCTGAAATATGTCAAGAAATAGAAAGAGAATAGCTGATAAGAGGTTGGGGTGGTGAGGTCATACTTTCCAATTCATTCCTACATATCATGGGAGGAATTTGATTGTCATGCAGGAGATAGCACAGTATTGAAAGACGGGAATTCAACAACCTGATGGCTTTCGGTATATTTCCCTAGTCATTAGATGTTATGTTCCAGTGCTTTTCAATTAAGGTTTGCTACACTTGACTGTGGGAGCTCTGGTAGCATAGTGGCTAAGGCACT